GAGTGGGGTTGGCCAGGCCGGTAGGCAGTGGGAGGGCAGTGCTGGCGGCGCCAGGCTCCACACCTCAGAGCCCCGTCCTGTCCCAAGAGCACCAGGCCTGGCGCCTGACCGGAGGTGGTGACCGCTGCGCAGGACAGGCGGAGGTGCAGTTCCGCGGGGTGTGGAGCACTGTGTGCGACAGCGAGTGGTACCAGTCGGAGGCCGACGTGCTGTGCAGGGCCCTGGGCTGCGGAATCTCCGTGGACCGGCCTCCTGGGCAGCCCCACTCGCTGCCCGGCAGGATGTTCTACTCTTGCGCTGGGGAGGAGGCCAGGCCCTCTCTCTGCACCTGGAGGTTCAACAACTCCAATCTGTGCAGCCAGTCACGGGCAGCCAGGGTCCTCTGCTCAGGTACCAGCCCGCCGCGCCCCCAGGCCGAACCCCAGCACCCCAGCCCTTCCTGGGTCTCAGGGTGTCTCCTGATGAGGATCCAGTGTAGAGAAGGGGCCACTGGGCTCCCCAGCGTGGGTGATACTTGGAACCATGGTATCCGGAGGCCAGACGTAATCCAGCGTTCGCCGGCCTCGGACGCCATGGACCGCGTCCTCCGTCCTCATGGAGGACACATGGACGCGGTGTTGATCGGGAGCCCAGCGGCATCCCTGGTATCAGAGCGAAAAGCAGGCGCTGCTGGAGCAGGCGAGGTGACTTGAGGGGTCAGGGAGCGTCAGCGAGGGTCAGGCCGCACACCCCCAGCGTCTGCGTCCCAGCTCTGCGTGTCCAAGGCGCGGGCTGGGACGGCCCCCTGGCCTTCAGTTTCCCGGAGGTCAGCTCACACCTGCCAGGCCAGGGCGCACTTGCTGCCCTGTGAGAGACAGGGGTGGGGACCGTGTGTTCCAGCAGGGGTAGAGAGCAGGGAGAATCCCTCCAGTAGATCTGCCTTCTAACCAAAGCGCCCAGTGGAACCGCGCCCCATTCCTGGGGCGGGGTTTTCCCGAGCCCATCCCGCAGGGTTCCTGGCACCAGGCCTGGGTGTGCGAGTGAACAGGGCTTTCTCACAGCTTCCCAGGCACCACACAACCTGTCCTCCTCCCGAGTCCCTTCGAGCGTGCAGCCAGGGACTGCAGGTGAGTGCTGTTTCCCGCAGAAGTCCAGGTGTACGCACGCGTGTGTGTGTGCGTGTGTTCACAGGTGCACGTGTGTTGAATGTGCGGGTGTGTGCATGCCTGTCCGAAGGAGGACTGCTGATTTGTCCCAGGGCTCTCTGGAGCCTCGGTCTCCCCCATGACCTCCCAGGCTCCCCTCCCGCTGCCCTGGCAGCTCCCCGGGCAGGCAGGAGGCAGAGCAGGCAGGGGCCCTCGAGTAGCTGTTGGGGTGCTTGGTGCAGCCATTGTGTTCTTATGGCCCAGGCTCCGTCCTTTCCCAAGCTTCTCTGGCAGCCACATGGCACGGTCTCCTCAGGCCCTGCCCCACGGCCGAGGCTCTGCCTGAAGACCCGCACCTGGCAGCTCCAGAGCTGAGGCTGTAGCCCCAGCTGTGCCCCTCGCTGAGTCTTGGCCTCCTGACTGCAAGGTGTGATGGCCCCAGACTTCTCTCCCAGCACTGTTGTGCTACCTCGGGGAATTCGCTTTAGCAGAGCTTCCTGCCCCATCTCGGGCCCTCAGAGCGGCTGCTGGGGTCCTAGAAACCGGGGTCTGTAGGGTGAGCAGGACCAGAAGCAGTGCAGCTCTTCCCAAGGCAGAGTAGAGACAGGGACCCCAGGCCACTGCAAGGAGCAGCATGGGGCAGTGCAGGGACTCTGCCGCTGGAAGTCCCTGTCCCTGCTCTGTCTCGAGAAGACCAGCAGTGCTTCTGGTCAAAGGCAGACAGAGAGGTTGGCACTGCCCAGGCGCCACCCCTGCCCTTCCCCAGGCCGACCTGGGACTTCTGCCTTTGAGGAGCAGGTGGCCCCATACCTCTGCCACCTCCTCCTCTGCCCACAACAGGGGTGAGGGGTAGGGAAGCTGCATGGAGCTCTCCTGGGCACCCTCCCTGGAGAAAGCGAAGCACCCTTGGGCCGATGCCCCATCCCCGTCACCCACTGACGGCCCCTAGGCAGAGCCCCAGGGTCAGGCACTGCTGTCTCATTGCTCCCCAGGACCCACTGTCCGGCACACGCCGTGCTATCTATTGAGCAGTGTCTTAGTCTTCTTCCCATTGCGGGGACACAACATCCAACACCCACAAAGCAAAGGACAGACTGGTCTTAGGTCGTGGTTTCAGGGCATGCGCTTGGGAGTCAGCAGGCTCCAGGCAGGAAGCCCCGGTGGAGGGGCCGGGCGGAGGAGAGCCGCTCAAGGCACGGAGGACAGGAAGCAGCGCGAGAAGGGAGGCGCCGGCAGGAAGCCAGAGCCTTGCAGGGCTCGCCCAGGGACTGCCTCTTCCTCCCAGGCCCCACCTGCTGAGTTGGCTATCGGCCCATGATGTCGTCACCTTGTAGTCACCTTGCAGGAGGACACGAGGCCCTGGGGGACACCTGGACACAGCACATAACAAAGAGCAGTGCTGAAGGCTGAGGGAGAAAACCGGCAGTAATTTCACTATGCGTTTATGGGGCTCCTGCTGTACACCAGGCGTCCAAAAGCAGATGGGGAAAAAATCAGAAGAAAAGGAAGCGGGGAGGAGCATGGAGAAGGGAAACAGGTCAGCTGCAGAGAGGCAGACGGCGGGCAGGGCAAGGAGAGGCCTCTGTCCACTCCCTTTGCTCCCTGGTGTTTTCCAGAATCTCTAGTGACGGTGCAGACGGCGGGCAAGGAGTCCCGGGAGCTGGCGCTGCTCATCCCCAGCATCGTGCTGGGCGTCCTCCTGCTGGGCGCGCTGGTCTCCATCGCCCTCCTCCTGCTGCGCGTGAAGGGGAAGTACGGTGGGTGGCGGTTCTGTGGGCAGGGGAGCGGCTCGGCCGGGAGGTGCGGGTCCAGGGCCCCTGGGGACCGGAGGGTTCCCCGGCCGGCAGTGTGGGCTCTGGGAGATCAGCCTGTGCACACGCGTGAATGCGTTGGAGGTGGGGTCTGGCTGGCCGACTGCAGTAGACCAGGAATGGGCCGAAAACCCACCTTGTGGACGCCCTGGCCCTCCACCCGCAGCCCTCTCTGCGGCTGAGAATCACCAGCACCTCCTTCCCACCGCCGCCCCAGCAGGGAGCAATAGCTACCACGCCGTCCCTGGCACTGTCCCTAAAGAGGAAGGTAGGAGCCCCATCTGGGCGGGGGCGGCCCGGCCTGCTCTGCCCCTCCAGCTCTGTCCTGAGCCCGAGGCTGCCCCAAGCCGGGCGCCTGGCAACGTGGTTCTGAGTGAGCTCTGCTGTGCTGGTCACCGTGACAGTGGCACCTCTCCTGCTGCTGCCCAGCCTGCTGCCACGGGGCCCCCTGGAGATTTCCCTGGGATGTGACTGTTACGGCTTTGAGCAAAAGCAGGATCGCTTATCCAGCCCTGGGGTGTAATTCGGGAGTCTGAGTTTCACTGCTTGGCTGGGCTTGGATCTGTCCCCCACCGGCCTCAGGCTCTTTGCTCAGCCTTGGGAAGAGACGCCGATGCTGCTCCCAGGAAGGAGCACCGCTCTGGGCCTCGTTTTCCCTCACAGACTCACAGTGAAGGCTGCCGAGATGTTAGCTGGAGCAGGTGTTGGCCCAGTGTGTAGTTGGGGTTTAGTTCCGCTGGTGTCACAAGGGGACCCCTCAAGTTTCTGCAGTGGTCAGACTGCCAGCTCCCCCTGCTGTGGCCTGCCCTCTGCCTCCTGCCCTCTGCCCCTCTGCCCACGGCTTTCCGCCCCCAGCATTGCCATCCTGCCCTCAGCTGCCCGGCCGCTGTTCCCTCCTCAGTTCCCCAGCTGCTGGCCCAGGGCCCGGGCGGGCCCCCCAAGGACCCCGACTCCAGCTCTGGCTCTGACTACGAGCACTACGACTTCAGCACACAGCCACCCATGGCCCTGACCACCTTCTACAGTGAGTGCAAGGCCTCGTGCCCCTCGCTGCCCATGTGGACACTGGCCCAGTGCCTCCCGGGGGGACCATATCTGTCTGTCTGGGGCCAAGGCGACCAGGCCGGACACTCACCGGAAGGTGCTGTCCCTGTGCACAGCCTGACTCCCCACATCACCCCAACCCTGCCTCCCACTGTGGCCCCTGTGTGGCCGGCACAGGATGAGAGCAGCAAACTCGCATTCCAGATTGCGGAGGCCGCGTGGGAGTCTGGCTGGGTCCTGAGATCTCCAAGGAGGGGGTCCCTAGAATCAGGGGGCTGGGCCCCTTCTTCCTCGCGGGGGTCCCTGAGATGTCACTCTGGTCCATGCGGTCCAGGTCGGCTCACCCACTGCAGGGCCCACAGCAGGTGCCCAGCTGGTCCCGCGCATGCCACGCCCAGCACGGACCACCGGCTGTGGGGGATGGGCAGGTGCTTCAGCCAGGCAGCTGTGAGTCCGGCTTCCCCAGTGTCCCCACCCCACCGCCGGCAAAGGGGTCCAAGAGGGACGCAGAGGGCTGCACCCCTGCCACCTTGTGCACTCTTGCTCAGGGGCCACGGGGACGAGGTGCTCATGGTGTTGGCGTGAAGGGCAGTGGTGCTGGCTCCACAGGGCTCCATGCTGCTGGGCAGCCACATCCTCCAAGCTCTGGGTCTCCGATCACAGACCGGGCCCAGACCTCCTGGCTTCCGTCCGAGGTGGAGCTCGAGGGCCTCACCATGGCCCAATCTGGGGCCCTGGGGAGAAGCCAGGCTGTCCCTGACTCCTCGGGGCACCTGGGCTGGGGAAGCAGCTGAGCCCTCCGTGCCACCGCCCTGCCTCCTGCAGATTCCCAGCGGTACCGAATCTCAGAAGAGGAGGCCCAGCAGAGCCGGTTCCGGATGCCGCCTCTGGAGGAGGGTGAGGCCCTGCCCCAGCCCGAGGCCCGGCTATCCTGCAGCTCAGTCCACCCTCCCACATGCAAGTCCCTTCTGCAGCCTTGGAGCCCTGGCTGGGTCACTGTTTTGGTCCTCAACTGCCTCTGTTGTGGGCCAGGACTTGAAGAGCTGCAGGCGCCCCCCATGCTGGCCGCCTTGCTGGGACCCTGCACCACAGACACTGCCCCCAGGGACCACCAGTGTCACCATGGGGATGACAGCGGGTCCAGCACGTCTTCTGGAGAGGACTACTGCAACAGCCCTGGCACCAAAGCACAGCCCTGGAGCCCCCAGGCGTTTCCCCTGGAGCAGATCCAGGGCCTGGAGCTGGCTGGGCCCCAGATGCCCTTCCCAGGGGGCGGTGAGTCCTGTGTCCCTGTCCCGGAGCCCCACGCTGGGGCCCAAGCCAGGCACCGTCCTAGCCTCGCTGTATGGCCTTGGCCGGCTCCCTCCTCTCTGGGCCTCCCGTCCTCGTGGGTCCCAGGGCTCTGGCGCTGGCCGTCACATGCTGGCTGAGGTGACCAGCTGATTTGGGCTTCCACAGGGCCCCCCGAGGACAACAGCTCCAGCACCTCCTCCGGGGAATGGTACCAGAACTTCCGGTCACCACTCCAGGGCCCCTCCACGGAGCAGTTTGAGTGTCCAGGTGCTGGCTGGGGGGCTGGCAGAGGACGGGCTGGAGAGGCGGTGCAGGAGCAGCTGGCTGTGGGAGGGCTGTGGTCGCAGCAGGGCCCAGAACTATTGCATACTGTGACAGCGGCCGGGCCCCACCTGATGGGAACAGCAAGGCTCCAACAGCTCAGTCTGCCCAAGGAGGGCAGCCAGAAGAGGCCACGGTGGTGTCTGGGGAGCAGGGCCAGAGCCTGACCTGAGCCTCCTCCCCAGGTCCCTCGGGCCCACAGCGAGGCTCCTCCTCTGCAGACGACTATGATGACATCGGGGCAGCCTAGGGTCCCCCGCTTCCTCCGGCCCCCAGCAGGTCCCCCAAGTGGGGCGCAGGCCTCCTCAGGGGCCAGGCCCCCCTGTCCATCAAGCAGCAGCCCAGGGAGAAGGTGGTCCAGGGTCGGGGGTCCCTGCAGACTCTGGGGGTCAGGACTCCGATCCCCAAGACCCGGGCAACGCGGGGCTGGACTGTGGTGGGCAGGGTCGGCCCTCCACAGTGATGACCCCACCACACCGCGTCCCAAGCTTCCCCATCCACAGAGACGCCCCGGCCACTGCAGAGGCCCGAGCCCGGCCAGGGCCCAGGACATCGGGACGCTTGCTGCCCCAAGTCCCTGCTCAGGGGGGTTAGGGACGCACAGACACGCCCGTCACACCGACCTGCAGACGGGTAGGGGTTGGGCCGGGCTGTGGGGCTCCGAGTGTCCTGAGATTAAACTGAGCCCCGGAAACCCGGAACGTGGTGAGCGTGGCCAGTCCTTGTGCTTTGGGTGTGTGTTCACACGAGTGTGCAGCACGTACAGCTTCTGCCTCAGCAGAGGAGGCGGGAGGGGGCCCGGGACCTGGCCTTGTCCCAGTGTGCAGTGGGTGCTGGTCGTGGCCCGAGCCCCAAGCCCCAGCTGCCCTGCAGGTCTGGTGAGTCGGCCCTGAGCAGAGAAGCAGGTCTGGTGAGGCCCAGGCACCCCGTTGTTCTAGTGGGGGATGTGTCCTGCCTGGGCCCAGCACTGCCCTGAGCTCCCCTCCTGGGCAGAGCAGCTGCACCTGGCTGTGTGGCCTCTGTGGAGGTCTCAGCCCAGCCCTTGGGGGCTTGGCAGTGGGCTACAGGGCTTAGAGGCCCAGCGTTCTGGAAGGCTGAGGCAGGATGATCACAAGTTGGGGCCCAGCCTGGGCAACTTGCAACTTATTGAGACCCTGTCTCCAGAACAAGGCTCAGCGTGATGGCCGTGGGTTCCACTTCTCATACTGAAGAAATAGGGTCCACTCACTGGGATTAGGGCTGGGAAAGATTTGTCGCTGTCCCTAAAAGGCTATCAGCTGCATCCTACCCATCCCGAGTTCCGAGTTCTCCTGGCTCAGAGCCCTGAAGCCCCAGAGAAGCAGAGCCACCCAGGACTAGGACCCCTCCCTGACCAGGCCGGCGTCACTGGGCCCAGGTGAGCAGTCACAGTCACAAATGGCAGCTCCCAGTGCTCCTGGGACCACGAGTCCTGATATGATTCAGGGAGAAGAAGCAGAGGTGCAGAAGGGTATTTGCTGAATTTGATTTCGGCACAGCTGTGGGGAGGCCAAGGCTGTGGCCCTGCAGGGCAGGGAGAGTCGCAGGGACTCTGCCCTCAGGCAATGTCAGGGGCGCAGGATGAGGAGGCACCAGCAACAGTGGGTGAGTTCCCAGGTGGACGCCGGCCTGGAGGAGCCCGCCCTTCTCAAGCCAGAGAGCAGAGAGGCTCGGGAAGCTGGGTCCAGATGCAGGGGGGCGCCCCTCACTCCCTTGGTCCTCAGTTCTTTGTACCCTTGGTGAAAGAATTCAGTCAAAACACAGGCCAGCGGGGATGGTGCAGCACACCTGTGACCCTAGCACTTGGAGGCTGAGGCAGGAGGGTTGACACAGCTCCAGGGCAATCTGAACTACACAGCATGACCCTGCCTCACATAAACAAACGGCACCCACATAGGCCATGCAGAAGTTGAGGTGGAATTCTTCACCAAGTAGATGAGGAGTTCTGGCTCCCTGAGTGTGAGTCTGGATGCCCCTTTCTGCCCTTAGCAGTGACTGTGGGCTTGGAGCCAGGGCCACTCTGGTGCTCGCCACACCTCTCCCAGAAGTCACTATTGCAGCTGTCTCCTGTCCCTTGTGACGGTCAGTTTCCCCAAGGACGTAGCACGTGGGATGCACGCAAAGGAAAAGCTCTTCCCAGAGCCCGGGCACCAGCGCTGGAGCCCACACTGGCCTGGGAGGGCTGGCCCGGCTCTCACCCGCCTGTCACCACCGTGGCCTCCTGTGTGGGGCCAGGTCCACAGTGGAGGCTGCAGCCGGGCACGGCTCTGCAGACCCTGTTCGTCTGTGTCCTCCCTGCGGCTCTGCACGTGGCGTGGGAGACCTGGGGCGGCGTTCAGAGCCGGATGGGAAGTTGCCCACTTCCTCCAGCTGTTTACCAGCAGCCTAGCATCCTGACATGAAACAGCGTCACCCACCCGGGGAGGAAGACACCGCCAGCAAGATGAGCCCACACAGGCGGGGAGGAGGGGACGTCGGGGCAGAGCCGGGAAGGGACAGTGGCCCCTGAAGCCGCTGTGTCCCTGGACAGCCTGGGGCTGTCAGGGTCCCACTGTCTGCACGGGAGAGGCCGCTGGGTGTCGGGCTGCAGGGAGGCCCCGGTGTACCACGGGAAGAAAGGCACACTTTCCGTTGGTGCCTCCTGGCTCCCTGCCAGGGCCACCACACCCTGAGTCAGGAGCAGGACCCCGACTTCCCTCCCAGTGGCCTGCTCTGCATCCCGCCGTCACAGCAGGAGACGGGCCTGGTCCTTGTCCTCATCCTGGCTCACACATTTCCCCTCGGCCACACTTACTGTCCCACAGAGACCTGGGCCCCTGCCCCTCCACAGTCTCTGCCTGGGTCCAAGCGACCAGGTCGTGTGCCGACGTCCAGGCCCTGGGGAGCCCTGGGGTGTGGGTGTCGGTCCCAGCATCACAGCTGGGCCCTGCTGGCCTTCCAGTCACCCTCTGGGCTCCCTCAGCTGGGGCCCCCAGGCACCCTGCTCTGGCCAGCAGTGTGTGCTCCTCTGCCCCTAGTGGCCCGGGGTCTGGGCAGGCTTGGTCACCGCTGGTCCTCCATCCTTAAACTGGTGTCTCCGCCCAGCCTGGCCACCCCCTGGGCCAGGACCTGGGCAGAACAGAGATCACAGAGCCACGACTCTGAGCACTGCTGTCTGGACACCTCGTGGGTTTGCTCTGTCTATGGACCATTCGTTCTTCTGATCACTTGGTAGGTTGTTTTTTCAAAAAATTGGACTCAATTTTTTCAAAAGTAAATTTATTTTTAAAGGAATCTGTATGTTTTACACAAACCATTTGGTGTGTATTTTAAAAGACAACCATGTCACAAAAGACTCAGGAGGGGTTTCAGGTTAAAGAAGCAAGAGACCCGAGGAGTGGGCACCATGGGCTCCTCTTCCTCCTCCCTCCCTCCGTCCCTTCCCCTGCCCTCCTTCCTCTCTGTCTGCTCCTCCCTCTGAGCCTGGAAGAACACCCTTTCTGAACAGCCTCCACGCCACCAGCATCAGCCCGGGTCACCTCCCCTGCTGTCCACAGGCCGCAGGCACAGGTGCGCAGTGGCGCTGGCTCCTGACTGGACCAGACACTGCGTTCTGTCCCTGGGGGGAGGAGAGACCCACAGAGCTGTGCCACACGAGGGCAGCAGGTGCCATCCTGGGGCGTGCTTGCCCACCTGGCCAGCCCGAGAGCCTGGCACAGTTGTCGCCCGTGAGCGTTCCAGGGGTAGGCGGCGCGGTCCTCACCTTTCGTTTGTTCCCGGCACAGTCCTGAGCCTCACCGGCCACATCCGAGGGCAAAGGTCAGAGCCGTCCAGGCCCCTCGCCATGTGCAGGGCACAGGCTGCAGGGGACTGTCACGCTGATCGTGCAGAGGCAGTCTGGGAAGCGGGAGCCCACAGCCGGCTGTTTACAGACGTGAGTCCCGCCAAAGCCTGCGCGCCACGGTCAGAGTAACTCACACCCGGATTCCTCTCCCACAACTAAAACCTCCGGACTAGAGGACAGTGTGCTAATCACAACCATCCATTTTGTCTGTTCTGCTCCTAATTCCAGAAGGCTTTGTTTTGCCCTTTATGAGCCTCGTTTACGTTAATTTCCATAGGAACCACATGTCACCTTTACCCCAGGTGATTGCCAATAAAACTCCTTGCCTGGAAAGAAGGGAAAAGAAAAAATAAAAGAAAATGAAAAAATGGAAAAAAAGTCTTTGTAAATAAGGAGGGGTGGAGTGGGTGAAGGAAACCCAGGGGATGGGGAAAAAATAAGAACCAAGATAAGTCATGTAAAGGTGCAGGATCCCCATGATGAATGTAACTGTACCGTGTACCTAGAATGGACCAATAAACTTAATGGGGGGACAGTCCGTGCCTGGAGCTGGCCAATGCCTGTGTCGGCTGCCCGCGTGGGTCGTCCTGGCCCCGTCTGTCTCCTAGCTCTGTCTCTCAGAGCGCTCATCTCGGCCTGCGTGGTATCCTGGCAGAAGACTGACCCTGACTGCAGGGGTCTCCAGCACAGGCGTTAGTGAGCCCAGGGAAGAGAGCTTCATGAGCGTGACTGCCGCCAGGAAGCTCCCAGCAGCCTCTGGGTCAGGCAGGGGTGCGCTGGGGACCCGTCCCGCAGTGGGCGTGTAGCGTGGCCACTGCAGGCTCTGTGTCTCTCCAAGTCTGTGTCTGCGTCCCCCACCCGCCATGCTGGGGCCCGGGCCACTGTTGCTCTGCTGTCCCTGTGTGCGTTTCCACCAACAGCTATGCCGCCACCGAACACCTGTGTCCCACAAAGGCCTTCAGAAGGTGTCGGCGGGTGCCACCAGCACGCTCCTTCCTGCCCCAGTTTCAGTCACTGAAGCGGCTCAGCTGGCTCCCCCGTCCTGTGCCCCACCACCTCCCTGCCACCTCCCAGGATGGGCCCAGCTGACCTGGGGTCCCTGCTGTCCCAAGTCGCAAAGCCCTGGTCCTGTGTGAGGTGCGAGTGCCGTCTCTGAACATTTGTTCTTCAGGAGTAAGGGCCACGGTGGCCCCAGGCAGACCCTGGGGCTGAGGACGGAGATTCTGGTGCCCTGGGTTCTGAATATGCCTCCTACACAGACAGGCTCTGACCCTGAGGCTGGCCTTTCTCCTCAGGACAGAGAGGCAGGGGTCTGAGCGGCTCCTCGAGGGCAGAGGCCCAGCAGCCTCGGGGTGCACACGGCACGGATGCAGGCTGCCCAGCTGCCCTCCCAGCCTGGCTCCTCCTGCCCGGCCTGGGTGCTCTTGGCCCTGGACTCCATTGCTGGGGTTGTGAGGTACAGGTCAGATGCCTGGGTAGCACAGAGCCCCTCCCAGGGG